TTTTTTTTTTTGAGACGGAGTTTCACTCATGTTACCCAGGCTGGAGTGCAATGGCGCGATCTCGGCTCACCGCAACCTCCGCCTCCTGGTTCAGGCAATTCTCCTGCCTCAGCCTCCCGAGCAGCTGGGATTACAGGCACGTGCCACCATGCCCAGCTAATTTTTTGTATTTTTAGTAGAGACGGGGTTTCACCGTGTTGACCAGGATGGTCTCAATCTCTTGACCTCGTGATCCACCCGCCTCGGCCTCCCAAAGTGCTGGGATTACAGGCTTGAGCCACCGCGCCTGGCCCCTACTGATTTTTAATGATACAAAGTTGTAATGTAAAACCAAAGTACTATGCTGGTCTTTTTTTTTTTTTTTTTTAAACTGTAAAGCTGATATATAAACACCAAATCCAATTACTTCAGAAGTGTTACAGTTATATAGCTATCATACCGAATGAGTTTCAAAAAAGATGTGAAACTCCAGAAAGGGATTTCTCTTACTGATTTCCACAATAATGACTTTAGGTCATTTATTTACAATGACTAAGATTCTTACTTTAGATATAAGTTCCCATTTAGTTTAAGGAACAGGGCTAAAAATTTTTAGTAGAATCTGGCAAAAGTAAAGTAAAGCTAAGTACAGCACTGGCCCCTGCGCATTCATCAGAAAAATCCTTAGATGTAAATATGCATACACACAAATTGAGGAGCAACAGGTTTAAGATTAGGGAAGGACACAGGGAGAAAACACACCCTAGAAATTACAAAGCTCAAGAATTAATAAGGAGAATGCAAAAATCTAAACAAACAACTTATTAATAACATCAGAAATGACCTAATTCAAATGAAATTATCATGTCCAAAATCACTCCAAATTTGAAACAGAATATAGACATCCAAATAATTTTCAACTACCTATCCTTATTTGAGCCCATAATAAACCAATGGCTAATATACCTAAAACTAGCTTCCCTGCCTATACTTATATTTTGGTGCAACTTTCATGGCAGTTATAAAAGGACTCTGAACAAATTGTGTTACATGGTTATTATATTAGACAGAGATAAACAGAAGCAAAAAATCGTCACTGTAAAAAAAAAATACGACCACACATCTTTTACAATTAGGGTTATGTACATATATATATACAAATACACACACACACAACACAACAAAAAAGGCAACAAATACATGATGAGGAGGAAAACAAATAATAGTAGCTAGCTCTAAAAGCAGTGGTTTTAGTCAGAGGTTTTATATTAAAATGTCCTGAGTACAACCACTGGAATGTGACCAATTTGAAAGAGGCCACTTCATATTAATCTTGTTTACCTTTAAGTTATAAGTAAAAATTGAGATACAGAATAAAAGAAGAGAAATGTATTTTATGATAGTATTTGAAACTTAAAAATAGCACATTACAAAATGAAAATAGGAATGGGAAACTATAAAACAGAAAAATACTAGATACAGGAAAAACAATGTACTGAAACATCCTGAAAATTTAAATGAATTTAGCACAACTGCAAAGAAAATCTTAACAGGCTTTTTATAACAGGTTTCAAGGTATTCTGAAATTCAAATTGAAAAAGATGAAAAAACAAAATATTTTGTTACAAACAGGACTATATGGACAATAGAGATAATTATAATCTGTTTTTAAGTATTATAAAAAGTTGCTGTGGTTTAAACAATATACCACTGGCCAAAAATAAAGACTACTAGACTAGAAAAAGGGTCCAGAATTGACGCCACATTTCATAAAATGTCATGTATACCTAACCAAACACAATTAAATTAGAAATATGTGTGACTGTGTAACTGAATATTATTGAGACAACTAGATATGAGTCTAGAAAAACAGTTTAGTGGTCTTCCAGCTTAGTTCAGTCATACAGCATGAGACTCTTAGGGTCATGGGTTTGAAAAATAACTTAAACTATAAATATTCCATAAAGTACACTGAAAACAAAATTAGGATATAAGCAGCAAAAGATGAAATAGAAAAAATATTGTGAAAATGAGACAGAACTAAATACCCAGAATAAAAAGAACTCATATCAAAAAATACGGGCAATACCAAGTACTACTGGTCAAAAAGACAAAAGACTTAAACAGATGTTCACAAAAAGGGAAAGAGAAAAAACTTTGTTTTTAAAATGTTCAGCCTTTCTTGAAAAGAAAAGGAAAAGATAAAAGGAAAAGAAATGACTAGGTACCACTTCATTCCAAAAAAGTTTTCAAAATAAAAAAAAAAAAACAATGCTGGCAAAGTCATAGTGAAACAGATGTACACTTTATAAAACAAATTTGTTTTATCAGGAAAGCATCATGACAAAGTAGGGAGTGGGGAGTTAAAGACCCATAAAAACAATCAGAGCCTTTGAAAGAATAATCCTCTTCCTGGGAATTCATTCTAAGAACATAATTCCAAAGAGTATGGGGAGAAATTGATTGTGTGGGGATGTTATTAAATAACACTTAAAACAGCCATATTTTTAAAACTGGCAAAGGATAAGGATACTATGATAATGGGTAAGAGCTCTAAGGGAAAAACTAAGGCAGAAGATTCAAGAGTTATTTTTAATACAGTATAAATGACAATACAGTAAAAAAGAGGAATGGACTGCAACACATTATACTAAAAATAGAAAAAACTGCAAATTATGAGAAGGGTATAAGAAACCTGCATTAACACATCCTGCTCACCTGTTTTTTAAACTGTTGGCATTCCTCTGGTGTGAGTGTGTCTGCTTTGGCAATAAGTGGGATGATATTCACTTTTTCATGCAAACGCTTCATAAACTCAATATCCAATGGTTTAAGTCTGAAATACACAGTATTTAATAGGACTGAATTGATCAGTTTGGGAGAACAGATTCTTCACATCCCCAATACTAAATTAAATACAACATAACTACTTTACTTACTTATCAGAAACACTGTGAAGATGTATTGGGCCAGCAAAAGTTAGGTAGAACAGGACTTCAAGAAGCATTGGAGTGGCTAAGGCTTTGACTCCTGCCCTTGAACCCTGGTCACAGGATTTTGGCCCTAAAGAGGAATTGGAAAAACCAGAGAGGCTCCTAATAGAATTTCCTAGAATTATCTCTATATTTATTACTCAAAGTTTCAAAACTTTATTTACTTATTTATTTAATTTTTTTGAGACAGGGTCTCAGTCTGTTGCCCCAGCTGGAGTGCAGTGGTGTAATCTCAGCTCACTGCAACCCACCTCCTAGGCTCAGGAGATTCTCCCACCTTAGCCTCCTGAGTAGCTGGGACTACAGGTACGCACCACCATGCCTGCCTAATTTTTGTAATTTTTGTAGACAGCCAGGTTACCTGGTCTGCAGAATTTTTTGGAAATGAAAAAATGGTGGTGGTTCTTCAACTCCACATTCAGTTCTTGCTACCAACTCTCTTTCTCCAACAAGATGCTCACAAGAGAATCTTCTTCAACATCCCTTTTATTCATTACATTCTGGCTGCTGCCTCCAATTTGCCTCTTTATTTACTTTCAAGAAGGTGACTAAATACTTCCACTGTAGTACTTACCATTACTTATTCTCTCACAAGCTCTTCTTCCTTAAGATATTTTTCAAGATTCCCTTAGTAAGCCAGTTCCTTAAAAGGTACATTATTTATAATACCCTACCAGGCCTTCTCTTACTCTACATTCAGTACAATTATCATGACTACAATAGATTTCAATTATCTTCAGTTGGTCAAGTGATTCCCAAATACTGATACACAGCCCAGATCTCACTGCTAAGTTGCAGATTTGTGTTTACCCAGTGGATATGTTACCCAGGTGTTCCATGGGCGCCTTTAAATCGAAAGCTCATCTGAACTCCCATTTTCCCTCTTCTATGCTTCCTATCTCAGTGAATGGCACTGCAATCTACCCAATTTCTCAACTGAAACCTAGGATTCCTCCCCTCTCTAGTCCTCTTCCCAAATATATATGTATGTGTGTAGATGTGATTATGTATGTATATCTCCATTTCCCTTACTTTAGGCCACCAAGACCTTTGGAATGAATAACTATAATACAAACCATGCATACTGAAGTCAGAGTGGTCTTTCTAAATCCAAATCTTACTGAGTTATACCCTGAACAAAAATTTTATTGAAGGCCAGATTCCTTAACTAGTATGGCCTATAAGGCTTGTGAAGACATAGATTTTCCAGCTGACCTCATCTCTTAGCATTCCTGGCCTTTCTTTTGCCTCCTACTTCCAATGTGCCATTTTGAACTTCTTACAATTCCTTGAAAGCACCATACTTTGAAATGTGGCCACAGGCTACTTACTACGTTGGCTGGAACACCCTCCATTCTCAACCTCCTTCTCCTTGGCCTGGCTAATTCCTATTCGTCCCTTAGGGCACTGGCTCACAGTCCAATTTCCACTGGGAATCAATTGTTCTCTAACCTAAGACTAGGCATATTTCGATGTGGTCACAACACTTAATGTGCTATACAGTAACTGCCTGCCTGCATACAGATGGTTCCTCACTATCTATGGTTCCACTTAACAATTTTTCAACTTTTTGATGGTGTGCAGGCAATATACACTGAATAGAAACTGTACAACCATTGTGTTTTTCACTTTCAATACAGTATTTAATAAATTACATGAGATATGCAACACATTATTACAAAGTAGGCTTTATGTTAGATGATTTTATTTGCTCAACTGTAGGCTAAGCTATGATGTTTAGTAGGCTAGGTGTATTAAACGTATCTTCAACTTTGGATGGGTTTATGTAATTCTGTCCCAAGTGTAACCCTGTCCTCTATTTGTTTCTCCCATCTTCTCACTGAAATATGCTCTACAGTGAGGGCCTTATCTCATTCATCTGCATCCTCAGCACTAGCATGGTATCTAGCACTTGAGAAGGTAGCCAAGTATTTGTCAACAAAAAAAAAGGTAAGCTGCTGTGATTTTCCTTATGCTGTTTGGAAATTTTAAATGAAAACCAAAGTCCTCAAATCTAGACTATACTGTGGACTAAAATTTAATGTTTTACAAGAATAAATGAAATACCTGAAATATTTTGCAAAGGACTACCATTCTAAAGTGGTATTACTGAACTTTTATAAAAACATGAGAAAAATGAAATAAAGGTCTCATTCTGTTATTAATTTTATTGACTAATAACTGAATTGACATTTAAAATAAAGAGAAACAACATATTAAAATTGGGGGGACTAGGGCCCTGAGGTAAGATAGTCCTTTTTCCTAACAAAGATAACTGTATATACCTCACTGTTGTGGTAAAGCTGACAGGCAGAAAGACAGAAATGGTGAGGGGGAGAAAGCAAACATGGAGAATTAAGATAGTTGCTTCCTATTCTAATTCTCCTTGTCTTAAATCCCTTGAAATTTGACACTGGCATTCAGAGAACAGGGAGCACAATGAAAAAGAGAGTTTGGATGGAATAACAGTTTATATTATCTGTAAACTGTGTTCTTGCCTCACTAGTATTAACTGAAAGAACCTATCCATTTTTATTTACTTTTTTGACAGGCTCTTGCTCTGTCACCCACGCTGGAGTGCAGTGGGGTAGTCATAGCTCACCATAGCCTCTAGTCCTTCCACTTCAACTCCAGAGTAGCCAGGACTACTGGAGTGCACCCCCATGCCCAACTAATTTTCTTTTTTTTTTTGGAGAGGGAATTTCGCTCTTGTTGCCCAGTCTGGAGTGCAGTGGCACAATGTCGGCTCACTGCAACCTCCACCTCCTGGGTTCAAGCGATTCTCCTGTCTCAGCCTCCAGAGTAGCTGGGATTACAGGTACATGCCACCAACACCCAGCTAATTTTTGTATTTTTAGTAGAGATGGGGTTTCACCATGTTGGCCAGGCTGGTTTCGAACGCTTGACCTCAGGTGATCCACCCACCTCAGCCTCCTGAAGTGCTAGGATTACAAGCATGAGCCACTTTGCCTGGGCTCCAACTAATTTTTTTTTTTTTTTTTTTTGTAGAGACAGGGTCTCGCTATGTTGCCTAGTCTGTGGCCTCAAGCAATCCTCCTGCTTCGGTCCCCAACGTGTTGGGATTACATATGTAAGCCACTGCATCTGGCCTGAACCTATCCATCTTTGAAAATTGATTTAAGTTTTGCTTCTTTTCATTAATCATTATATAAAGCACTAAATATAAATGCCATGAAATATTCAATCTCTGAGTTCTAAATGGTTATAGTTTTTCAATTCATACTCGTGACAAATTTAAATTGCTATTGCCTTATTAAGCTGTTACATCAGATACAAGCTTGCTTATTAATGTGACAAAAAAGCAGAGTTCGGTTAATCTAAAATTTTAATAAATCTTAAGGGCATTTCATATAAAGTATTAAAACCCAAATAACAAGATTGTATATTTAAACACAAAACAATACTTGCTGAATATTTATTGTAATATCCCAACTTTTAAAAAGAAAGATATTTAAAAATAAACATGACAAAAAAAAAAAAAACATCATAAACATGACAAGGAAGTTGGGGAAGTCAACTTCTTAAATATGACCAAAACAGTCACAGAACAAAATTAAACTTTAGAAAAAAAAGGTAGACCTTACAAAAGTCCCATTAAATTTCAGAAGCCTACAAAACATCAGCAATAGAAAACATTTAGTTCACATGTATATTACATTCTGGTTGAATTTTTTCCACCGTCCATTTAGTTTTATATTGGGTGGTCTTTTCATCAACAAATTACTTTTTAAACCTTGTTTTTAAGCAACAGAAAATCCTTTATCATTTCTAGAAGATAAACCCATACTAGAGAGACCAACCTCTAAGTCTACAAACTATAAACAACTACAGGGCAAATAAATTTTTGTATGTATTATGTATGTATGTATGTACGTATGTATGTATGTATTTCTAAGGGAAAAAAAAATCCTAAAACTCATTGGATGACACCAATTTCTCAAAAGTCGTACTCAATACTAGAAGGATAAAACACCATTTTAAAATTCATGTTCCAAGACAGTTTTTAATTTTAATAACAATTACAAAATAATGAACAACACACATGAAGCAATAATAGCTGAAATCATACATTAGCCATGTATGCAGTTCATACTTGAAAGAGGGAGGTAAGAGGCACTGAAAAGTACACTGTTGGACCAATTTATAATTACTCTAAAAATAACAGGCCTCTAAAAAGGAAACCTAGGGACTACCCAGAGAAGATGGAAAGGCTGTGATTCATTTATTAGACTGCATGAAATTTTAGCCTATAGTGAGCAGGGTATCTGGAACTCTATACATAAAATTCAGTGTCATATTCTTTCACTTAATCCATAACATCACATACCAATGGGCAAAACTTTGGTCCATTTCTAAAAGCAGTTAAGCTGAGAAATTGTTCAAAGGTACATTTTAATATGTAAGAAATAGCAATTTTAAACATCTTACCCCTTCTGACAAATAAGAAATGGTGCAAAGCCATTACACATCATTTGAATAATAGAAAATTTTTTTTCTTTTTAAAAAAACCTCTTGGCCAGGCATGGTGGCTCACACTTGTAATTCCAGCATTTTGGGAGGCAGAGGTGGGCAGATTACCTGAGATTGGGAGTTCAAGACCAGCCTGACCAACATGGAGAAACCCCGTCTCTACTAAAAATACAAAATTAGGTGGGCGCGGTGGCACATGCCTGTAATCCCAGCTACTTGGGAGGCTGAGGCAGGAGAACTGCTTGAACCCATGAGGGGGAAGTTGTGGAGAGCCAAGATGGCACCACTGCACTCTAGCCTGGGCAACAAAAGTAAAACTCCGACTAAAAAAAAAAAAAAAAAAAAAAAACCTCTAATTTCCCATGCAATTTTAAGAAATAAAATTCTCCCCAAGGGGATGGAAAGAATGTGATTTCATGAGAATTACTAAACTTGGAGAGGATCCAGAAGATCTAAAATAATAAAATTGGTTATAAGCTGACAAATTTTATTGACTTAACTGTAGATTAAGATTTTACTTTGCTGGCTTTCAGGAGAAGGCCCTAACAAGTTAATGATTTAAAAATATAAGTTCAAGAAGCTACACAAGTACTCATAAATGGTTATATAGTGTGCTGTACTTTTAAGATTACTTTTTTGAGCCTTTTAAGTCAGAGTCAGTTTAGTGATTTAAATATGTAAACTTTTGAGAACACTGTAGAAGATTAGACATAAAAGAAGAAACATTTTTACCCCACTTCAATCTGACAGTGCAAAAATATAAATATATAATTAAGGCTCCCTTCTATATCTAGAGTGATAATGAGCACTGGCCTATCTATTTTAAAAAAAAAAAAAAAAAAAAAAAAAAGAGAGAGAGAGAAAGAGAGAAGCCAAAAACAGAAGAGAAAGGTATACTTGAAAGAATTGGTTTGCACTACTGTGAGTGTCAGATGACTTAATGCTATTTAGCCTGATGCTACTACAGTTCTTTTGGGGGAGAGATGGTAGAGTTACAATCATCAAGTGGCTGAGTTATGTATGCCGAGTTACTTACCCAAAGGAAAAGACTGAGGAAGAATAATTAGAAAAATCTGCAGTTGTCAATAACACATATATGCACTCAAAATGACAGGGAAGTACAAAGAACACTAAAAAGGAGTACAGGCTAACTATAACAAACAGAACAATCTGAACAAATTAATATCCAGATTCTTCGGTCTTACGTCCTAATAAACAAAGGGTTAGTACTGACAATATGATACCTAAACAGCACGTCTATTTTAGCTAAGGTGAACAGAAGCCAAATAAATTTACTGTAGAAAGAAATGGCACAAGAGAACACTGGCATGCAAGTGTTTTGATAACCATCTCTTATGAGACTGCTAATAAATAGCACCTTTGGATTTATTTTGAATATGTCTAACTGGTATGTCTGCTTCTTTTTATTTGGTAAGTTCAACTAGTGGGAAAGTGGTCAATTTGCCACACCAAGACCTCAAACCATGGTGGCAACTACTATTTATTTCCATGAAGCAGGGAAAATCCTTATGAATGGAGAACTAAGGAGTAAAATCACTATTAGCTTATATAGGACTTAAAAAGGCTTTTCAACTCAGACATTTCTACATAAAATTTGGTACTTAATAGGCATATGTACTTCACCAACTGAAAGATTACTAAAATATACACACAAAGGAAACAGTAAGCAACAACAAAAAAAGAATCAGAAGTATCAAGGTACTGACCCATGTCCTGAAGGAGCAATGAAGTATAAACAACACTGCACCCTATTATCAGGCATCTGGCGTCTGTTCACTCGAGATTCTGCATTTAGGTAGTCCTCAAATTTACTATCAATGTAGTCGATAACAGGCTGCCAGCTATAGAATGCAAATAAACAAAACAAGTAAGTTGCAATTCTACATATAAATGAACTGATGACTATTAAAGAACAATGATCAATATTTTCAAATAGGCAAAACGAATTTACCAGTGGAAGATATGTCAAGTTATTCTAAAGATTCAAAAATATAAATTATGTTAAATAAATCTTTAGTCATTATTTCAAAAATTTCCAAATGAAAGAAAAATTATTGTCAAAACACAGCTAAATTATTAGCGTATTATTTCCACTGATAAGTATACTAACACTTCATAATATGAAAATGATTATATTCCATTTTAGATTTCAAATGAGAGATTACTTTAAATAAAAACTTCATAACGAACTTCGGAGTACTAAGAGTTGACAGAAAATTACCTCAAAAACAATGTGAATTCAAACAAAAATAAAAGTATTATTTAGAAAATATTTAAATAATTACTTCAGACTAAAATTTCATAGTTGTTTACTTAGGACTGACAGAAAAACTGAAAGTCGAAAAATCAGGTTTAAATTAGGATTGAGACAGAATTTATACAAATGGATAAAATTAAAGTGAACAGTTTTAATTAATTAATTTATCCATTATACAAATGGATAAAATTAAAGTGAACAGTTTTAAAATTAAAGTGAATATCTTATAATAAATGAGAATTCTATCTAGCTACGTTATTTCAGAATATGTCTTTAAAAATTTTATGATAGGTATTATGTCCATTTTATAGAAAAGTAAATGGGTTCAAAGAAGTTAAACAACTTTGTCAAATAAATGGCAAAGTTGGTATACAAACACAAGTCATCTTACTTGAAGTTTGGTGTTGCTAAGATGAGAAGTTTTAAAATGTTAAGAAGAAAAAGTTTAACCACCTCAGTACCTCAAATGCACTGGAACGCGTGAGGACAAACCCTTCTTACCAATTACTATTATCCACTGCATCTCCAAATCCTGGGGTATCAACTATTGTGAGCAGCAATTGAACACCACCTTCTTTGATTAAAACTTTGGATTGTTCCACCTATAAGAGTAATCGGTGCAGATGTTAATATCATACATTACACCAGTGATTTCCTACAAGGGGTGATGATAGGGACGTTCAAGTTTATCAAAACCAATTGGGAAACTGTTAGCAAATTAAATCCACCTACTCCCATATTTTCTTTAGAATCAATGATTGTGGCCACTGGAAGTCCTGATTATTTGAAAGAAAGCATATATACAAATAGTTTGCCAATCTCTTGGCAAATTCATACTGAGTTTATGACTTAGACTTGGTATAAAGACAGAGGAATTGATAAAATATTGATCACCATTAAAGACATGTAATACTTATATAACTTAAAAGTTCATCTAATAATACAAATAAGCAGCATGAGTAATTCAGTGATTCACAGAGTTCAAATGTAATTAATCAGACAAGAACATCTAATTTACCATTTATAGTAAATGTCTTCCTGGAATATTCTCTAACAAGTTTGGCCCAAACGACTCACTCAAATGAACTTACTAACATTCCTGAATCTTTCTCAGCATGGATGTAATTACCCTTGCATTTATGTTATGGCTAGGATCCAATCCTCTTCTCAAATGTGATACTCCACATTCTGGACAATGTAATCAGCAAAAGTCCAGACAGTTAAAAAAAAGTGTATTCTGATATGGTGAAACCTTACCAACCAACTATTGGACATAATGATAACAACAGTTCCTGGCACAAGTTAAGATATTCTGTAACCTCAAGTTTTGTTGTATGAGAAGATGTATTATCATTAATCCTGGACATAATGTTGCTATTGAATGCAAAGTATCAGTTTTCAGGAGCCCAAGATAAAGCAAACATGGATTGAAATAAAAAGGGGAATAATTCCTCCAGAAAATGATAGGCTTTCTCTTGATATACATTTATATTGAGTCCTTATTAAGGCTAGAGGCTCCAAGAACGAGGATAAGGTAATTTACAAGACAAAAATTTGGGACACTTTTAGAGACAGTCTATTTCCTTTTGGCCTGTTTTATAGATGCTACCTAATGTATGAAGATAGTACATGTACAGACTAACATTGCTGAGCAAGAAAAGTCTGTATCCGCACTAACCAATAACACTTTTTGAGATGATGGAATTGCGGTGTATCCACCACATTGTCCAATATGGTAGCCACCTGCCCATGTGGCTATTTAGTCCTTGAAATCTGACTAGTACAAATGAGGAGCTGAATATTTAATTTTATTTAATTTGAATTAACTTAAATAGCCACATGTGGCTAATGACTACTGAATACAGAGCACAGGCCTATAGCAATCAAGAGTTTTCTGTTAAAGGAATTTTATTCTCACTAACAAAACTTATTAAAAGTGAAAAAAATTGCCTGAGATGTGGACATACATGACTTATCTTTTAGAGAAATGAGATGCCAAAGTCTTATCTTTAAGATTAATGTTCTTCAAACTGCTTTGATCCTGATACAAACTATCAGTGAAAATTCTGCATATCCAAAATGTATTTACCCACCAAATATATACTATTGGCAAAATGAATATTAAGTATTAATATGTATTATCATTTCTCTGTAGATAAAAAAGTTAACATCAATAAATAAGAGTTGTAATATTTTCTGATCATTCTCAGTATCAATGATGGATGCACATCGTTTAGGAGATCACTGTTATAAACCACATAACTAACATGTCTGTTATCAGGTTACCCTAATAACATGAGGAAAGCAACTCAGAGAAAACAATCAGATTCATCAGTGTGAGTGAACAAAAACAAAAGGAAAATTTTTTTTTTTTTTTTTTTTTTTAACTTGGGATCTCATTCTGTTCCCCAGGCTGGAGTGCATGGCAGATCCTAGCTTACTGCAGCCTCAAACTCCTGGGTTCAAGTGATCATCCCATTTCAGCCTCCCAAAGTGCTGGGCCAAAAAAAATTTTTAATGATATCATCTAATCTGGTTTAGGAAGTTTACATTTTCTTTATCTGGTGATCTTCTAATCAAAGGACAACCCAGTCAAATCTAACATCTTAATATCTTGAATTCACCTCCATCTCCTTTATAAAGACAAATCATTTATGCATGGTAACTGTGGCTGAAGCAGAAATATCCAAGGTAATCATACCACTCCTTTACCTACTTACTGTTTTAAATAACATAATACTGTATACTAGAGAGTGACATAATAATATAATTAATTTACATGAATCATCTCCCAATTTTACTTCAAACTATTTCTGGTTCCTTTATTACCAAACAAAGCCTTCAGTTATATGCTATATACTAATTACACATTTTAACCTAACAGCTTAAATTTTAAGATATTTCCCTGTTTAAAAAAAAAAAAATCAGTTCAACAACTTACTTATTGATTTGCTAAGACAAATGAAGATTTGTATTTTATACATTTTAAGGAATGTTTATAAAGCTTCTTTTCTCCTCTGGCCTACAAAATTCTGTGTATCCATACATGGTCAAATACAAAGAAGTCAGAGACATATGGAAAAGATCCAGAAAACATAACTGTAAACTAGTGCCATTCACAGAATTCAACTGTATCCTATCATCTGGTTTTGCAAGTATCCTCATGGGATCCATGGAAAACAAATTAGTTCAAGTCCAAGAATTTCAAACTTTTCCTAACAAATCTACTCCAAATGGCCACTTTCCCATGCACTTTCCTTAAGCAGGTCACATCAATATATTTCACAGCATCACTCAGGGTTCTCTAAGATTAGATGCAACATTTAATACCAAAAGAATGAATCACTGGCATTTTCAACTGTTTTTCCCTGAAAAATAAATAAAACTAAAGCTATCGTCTGTGTATCATCTATGTATAATTAATCTATCAAGACCTCTTTTGGCATCTGAGATTCCAGAAATCCAAGATACTCATTTTCTAATAGTGAGTGTATACAATATACAAGAGTTCCAGTATACTGAAAAAAAGTCAATGTTTATTATACAGTTTCATGTACACTAACCTTCTCTAACTTAATGTCTACATGCCATTTATTAAGGTAAATAAATGTTATTTAATTAAGAACATAACATTTTGAAAAGAGGGTTAAAATTTTCTGTCAAGACCTTACCTCTATCTACACATTCTCAAGAGGTAGCATTATAGCCAAAACTGAAAAGATTTGAATGGCCTGAGACACTCCACTTAACTCAAACACAATAACTATCTATTTTGCTTATTTACTGGCTCCAAGGACAAATATCATCTTAGATATTTCATCATGTTCCACAAGAAAATGAAAGAGGAAGTGACCAATAGTAGGGTAGTTATGCTTAAAGAATAATCTCATCAAGACCCAAAACTACTTTATTGAGAAGAAAATTGATCCAGAGACTCTAATTCGGCCTTCTACTCTGAACCATTCCTCCCCTCATATCCCTGTCTCCTTACACGGAAACCTCAAATCCCTTGCCCCTCTTATTTTCTATTAGCAACCTCCTTCCCAAAACCTTTCTCTTTCCCTTTCCAACTCAAATCCCATTCTGGATTAACCCATCTTTCTGTTTCTATGCCATAAAATTAATGACCTCTAATATTCCTCTGATGTGCTCCTTAGCCTCATGCCTCTCCCATTTCCCAGTAGGCTCTCCCCAAGCCCTCTATTTTATCGTGTCTGTCACAATACTCAGGGAAGTACCTCACATTTCCACTTAAAGATGAGAGCATTCCCAGTTTGTCTGAATAAGCACTGTACCTTCCATGGTACAGCGTGTGTGAAATATGTCTTTTTCTAACACTAATTTCTCAATCTATGCTGGGGAACTGATTAATTTCCATTTTAGACTCATCTTGACAACCTTTTACACTATTTCCCCTCTATCTTCAATCTCTCATTTCTTAGAGAATGAGTCACCAAAGGATATAGCCATTCTCAGGTCTCTTTTGGAAATCATCAAACCACTCTCTGAGTCCTCCATACTCACTCCTAGGTATTCCTTCTCATCCCTTCCTTAATTGCCATCACCCATCTACACTGACTCGCTTACCACTCACTTCTCAACCCACTGCCATCTTGCTACCACTTCATTAAAATTTACCTTGCCAAGGTTGCCTCTACAGCACCTTACAGAAGCATCTTTCTTACTAAATCATAATTGTTTGTCCATATTTTTCCCACAATTGAGATCTTTGAGAACTTTGTGTTTTGTAGCCCCAAAACTTAGTATAAGACAAGCATTTAAATAAGTTATGTGAATTGCTCAGAAACTATCAAAACTGGACCAATTATCAACAGGAGAGTTTCCTGATCAGGCTCTGTGAAAATTTTTCAAGGAGTCTATCAATATGTTATCCTAGAGATGTATGTACTGCTTTCACCTTTTTTCAGTTTCAAAACTTTTGCACCCACTTCACCTACAATAGTGATTCATAAAACTTCATGGACCACCTGGGTGCAGCGGCTGACACCTGTAATCCCAGCACTTTAGGAGGCCAAGATGGGCAGATCATTTGAGGTCAGGACTTCGAGACCAGCCTGGCCAATATGGTCAAACCCATCTCTACCAAAAATACAAAAATTAGCTAGGCATGGTGGTAGCACGTGCCTGTAATCCCAGCTACTAGGGAGAACTGCTCAGGAGAATTGTTTGAACCCAGGAAGCGGAGGTTGCAGTGAGCCAAAACAGCGTCATTGCACCCCAGCCTGGAAGACAGAGCAAGACTCCATCTCGAAAAGGAAAAAAAAAAAAAAAAAAAAAAGAACTTCACAGACCAAGAGAAGAGAAAGTTTCAAAGGGGAACAGCGTCAAATTTCCAATTAAGAAAAATCTAACACTGCCGTTGAACAAAAGAATTATCTTAACAGAATACATTAGGAGAAAATTAAAATGGAGTTTAATCTCAGAAAAAAAAATGATAGTTTATTCCGAAGAAAAAACAGATGATACCCTTTCACTGACATAGAGTATGATTTAAAACTTTTCCATTGCAGGCCGGGCATGGTGGCTCCTGCCTGTAATCAGCACTTTGGGAGGCCGAGGTGGGTGGATCACTGGAGGTCAGGAGTTTGAGAACAACCTGGCCAACATGGTGAGACTCCATCTCTACTAAAAACACAAAATTAGCTGGGCGTGGTAGGGTGCACCTGTAATCCCAGGTATTCAGGAGGCTGAGTCAAGGAGAATCACCTGAACCTGGGAGGTGAAGGTTGCAGTAAGCCGAGATAGTGCCACTGCACTCCAGCCTAGGCAAAGCAAGACTCCATCTCATTCATAAATAAATAAATGAAGGAATGAATGAAGCAAATGCAACAAAATTAAAATAAAGTTTGTTACCAAACATAAACATTGTAAGCATGTTTTTCCAAAAAAATTTGTTAATATGAGTATCTACATTTGAAATTGAAACATGAAGTGGAGCTCAAATGTTCAATTTTTTCTTTCACTTCATTTTAATCAATCTATTAGAAAAATATATATCTAAGTAAAACACAGAAGTAACATGGTACTATTTCATTCCATTTGAAACATTCTGAAAGAACTAAGGCAAAACAGACATAGAATATCCTGACAGACATAGGATAAAATCAGTTTGCAGCTGGGAAAGAACACTACAGAGCAGTGGTTCTCAAAATTTAGTACCCAGACTGGTGGTAATACATTCTGAAAACTAAAGAGAAATACAAATTCTTTGGGACCTGCCTCAAACTTACTATAATACAGCAAACCATGAAGGAAGGGACTCAGCAATCTTTTTTAACAAGACTCCCAGGTGACTGTTACACGTGCTCAAGTTTGAGAAGCACTGATACAAGAAGTTCCAGGACCAGTATCAGCTCGCATCTGGAAATGCACACATATAACTCAGGGTCCAGAGGTCTAAGATAGAAGGTTAAGAGTTAATCTTAAAGACCTTCTATTATCAATACTAAAAACGTCACTTGAATCAGAACCGCTATTTTACACACAGGAGACTAAAAACCAGCTCTCTGTTCAGAGAGTACACAGCTTCTCATTCCTTCCAAGACTGTGAATGTGAATGAATAGCTCCTTTAAGATACAAGTCTCTTATAAAGAGATAATGCTCAGGGATGAGAATATGAGATCATGGTCTTTATTAAAATTTTGCTCCTTATTCAGCTACATAACAGAAGAGGGTTTTTCTTTCCATTTTTATAAATGTTTGTCTTTTGAAGCTCAGGATTATGTGTTTTTCACCAGCCTAATATGTCTGGGCTAAGATACAATACTGGTGACCACTCCCCTCTACTTTGAGAATTTATGAGCTTCCAAGGGCAGATCATCTGCTAGACTACTGGGCTTGGTAAGGAGCCAGCCAACTATTAGGAAGATTATATTATCATTTTCTAACTACATTTAGGCTTCTTGAATGACTCTGATCCTGTCCATAATATGGCATGTTCTTTCCTAAGTGAGCAAAAGAGTTTAGGTGATCTTCAAGTAGTTTACAGTATATAAAGGAATACATCTCTATGGTTCCATAAGGAAATGGGACTTCTACAGGATTCTAGCAAGGATCAATCTAGTTTTCAAATGATACAGGTCTTCTTTTTAGTAAAGAAAAGATATTTAACAATGGTACACCTGCCTCTGTCTTAAAAATCTTGCTAGAGATATTCTCATCCTCCATTACTCCTTTGTTTTTAAAACAAGAGTTTCCAGGAAGATATCCACAACAAAAGAGGACATTTTTGAAGTATTACTTTAAAGGAAGGTAAAATGAGTTTAGACAATTTATTTTGAAGCTGGCCAATGTAAGAATTCTAATAAATTGAGGGCCTGTCACATGTTTCACAGATGCTCACCTAGGGAGAAAATATCTGCAATATCTAAAATGTAGGAGATTATTAGTTAGGTTTTGAAAACTCTTATAAATCAGTAAGAACATGATAGAAAATATTCAGATTATTAAAACACCTTAATGAAATCTGAACAATGAGTACAAAACACATGTTCAACCTCACTAGAAATCAAAGAAAATAAACTCAATGCCTTGGTATCTTTATGCACACACAACAGCAACAAGTGCCTAAGTCCACCAAGACATTACAAGAATGTTCCTACTAGTAAAAAACTGAAAACTCAAATGCTTATCTAAAATAAATAATAATAATACACTGATATATTCACACAATGGAGTATTATGCGATGATGATAAAGAACTACACCCAACATGAGTAAATAATACAGATGTAATCTTCACCGAAAGAAAACATATAAAAAAGTATATGTATATAACATTCAAGAACAGACAAATTTACTCTATGGAGAAAGCAGTAAGTGTTTATCTCTCGGGGGTATAATACTGAATGAAACTGAGCACATGGAAGAAACTAGGGTGCTGAAAATGAACCATATATTAATTTGGGTAGTGGTTAGTTTTACCTAGATATATGCATATCTAAATTCATAAATACCTAAATTAAGGTATTCCTAATAGATACCCAAATTAAGAAAGTTCAAAGTTCATTTTCTTGCTTAGGATTAACATTTCCAATATTTATCACAAAATAAATAAGCATGTAGGATCAAGTTTTTAGAGCATAATTTTACAGGTAATTTTAAATCTCAAGCCCTATAAAGGTTACCAAAAGAAAAGAAAAATCCTAAAATAGAAACATTAAAATGAAGAAATAAGATATTTACTTCATAAAATTACTCCTTTGGGATCTACTTACTAAACTGCATTTTCCAGTTTGATACATGAGTTACTGCCCCGAATATATAGATTGTCCTTCCATCCTGTGCACTGGGATGATCACTAACACTTCCTCAAATCCAGCTAAAAGCATCATTGCCTCACTCCTACTCCAGCCAAAACTGTTCACTTGCCTCCTCTCTGCTCATGTTCTATGTATTGCATGAGCAGAGCTCACCAACAGTATTTTTAATCAACAGTTCAGAGAAGTGCTGCCAAACAAAAATACCATGTCAATCATGTAAGTAATTTAAAATTCTTAGTAGCCACTTTTAAAATAAGAAAAAGATTAAATTAATAAATTTCATTTAACCTTATATATCCGGACTATTATCACTGCAGTATACAATCAATATAAAACATTATTGAGATTTTTTTTTTATATGCTCAGTCTCAGAAATCTGTGGTATATTTTATATGTGCAGAACATCACAATTCAGACCACCCACATTTCAAAGCTTAACAGCCACACGTGGCTATAGGCTGCTATACTATTTAATAAAAAGTGTGTATCTGGAGTCTAGCCCCTTGCTCTAGAAAGTGTGATCTATCAGCCAGCGGCATTGGCATTATCTGGGATCTTACTAGAAATGTAAAAATGCAGCCCATCTCAGACCTACTATTACAACTAAATTTAATAGGATCCTCAGGACTGGAATGCACAGCAAATATTGACAAGCAATAAATTTGATCACATATACCTTTGGGAGTCTTACAGAATTGCTATTGCCATTCGACTATGATATGGTATTATCCCACTGACTAATATAGAACACTGTATTTAAATAACAATAGCTTTTCTGTGAATCATGTTTTCTCTACATTGTCCAATGCAATTTTCTGCAATGATGAAAATGTTCATATATGTGCTGCACAAAATGGTAGCCACTTGTGGATGTTGACTACTTGTATCTGGAGCAAATGAGAAAGTGCATTTTTAATTTAATTAATTTTAACTGACTTAAACATGTGGCAAATGACTACCATACTAGACAGCACAACTTCAGGGGAATTGGTTACTATGTCACAGAGTCATCTCTAGGGGAGTTCTTAGGACAAATTTGTAAAGCTCTAGTCAAGATAATTCTTCTGATTAACTGAACTTCTTTTTAAAAAAATTTTCTAAAGTCATATTACCACCTCACACTGGCTAAGGGCAAATTTGCATCTCACCTCCAAGGAAGCATAATAAAATGTGCATGTGCTTTGTGACTATTAATGTTACTCCAACTTATCAGTTAACAATACTAACATCCATACCTGTACAGTCTTTTTAATTCTATGAGAAGGACCTGGATACTCTGGAGAGTACAAATCTGTGAGGAACAATGAGTTGATTAATGTCGACTTTCCCAATCCAGATTCACCTAAAAGAAATAAGGGGGAATATCTGTTAAACTCACCCACTTTATCCAACCTTAGATATTCAACAGATGCTATAATCAAATTTGTTTTACACAAGTACTTCTTGGTGAGACAACCAAATGACATTAGAAAATGTACTACAAAGAATAAGTATCTTGTCCTCAGTTTCTTACCTATCAAATTAGACTCGTGTTCCAAGGATCCTTTTCAGCCTTCTAATTATACCACTTGTATTCATTAAAAGTAATGTAACAGTAATGTATTCCCAAAGAAAAAAGTCATTATTAAAAAATCCAAGTTGGATTATATATCACTGCTTCAGTAAAATAAAGTTTTTCATTATTAATAGGCAATAATGAATGACCAAAAAAAGAAATCATGCAGCTATAAAAAGCAAAAATCTGCTGATACAAAGAAAAATTAATCACAATGAACATCTCCATATAAAATTGCAAATCACAAAAAATACTTTCTAATTTACCCACCCATCAGCCTAAATATAAGGGTGCTTTCTCCACAAACCAGAAGCCAAAAAATCTTAGGTAATTACTTTTTATACTGCATCCACGAGGTAGGAGGCAGACATAAAGGAAGCTAGGGCATGATTTCTACTCTGATCACGTACTCTTTTTTGACCCTCTATGTGTAGTCTAATATACATAGTTCAGTGTACAGTAACTGTTACAAGTATACCAAAATATAAATGGCTCCAAGGTATATATATAACCTAAATTTAAAATAAATTATAAATCATATTATGGTAATTAACATGGCATAGAGTTAAAGTATTTACTGTTAATAATTCACTTAGAGTATAGGCATGTTTAGCCTAAGTAACTGATGTCACAATATTTATATGTCTAGAAGGAATTTTTTTTATATTAAGTCTCAAAAGAACTAAGATCCTTTCCACACGGTCTGGGCTTATCCCTTTGACTGACAGTATGCCACTTTTTGTTAGATGTAAAAACGCCAAAAATTTCTAAGTCACAGGAAAGTAACTTACAGACTGGCCACACCAGATTCTTTCTTAGCTCTTATACTTTGAAGGAATAAAGACTAGAATAAAACCCAAGCATTTGGATGTTATCAGAAATATCTATAATATTTCCTTTTGGAAATATAAATGAAAATTATAGTATACAACGTTTTAGGAAATAAAACCAAAAGTATGCTAATTTAAAAATTAACACTGTACTCAACAAATTTATGTTGAGTCCCCCCCAATTTTTATTGGTGGTGAGGAGTAGGGGAACAAGACAACGCAGGACAAACAGAAGACAGAGAAAGAAAAATAACAGTCTGCAAGGTAACACACCAAAATGTAAATCGTGGCTACTCTGAGGACAGTACAATCTGGGTGAGATTTTTTTCTTCGCTTGTTATACTTCTGGGTGCTACAAACTTCCTTCAACAGGATTCTATTATTTTCATAGTTTAAAAAGTGTTATTGAGTGGCATCCACAAAACTCATTCCCTCACAGAAACACCAAAAACAACCAGAAACTAGTTGGATTAACCTTACAGGACCTGTGAAAAACAGGTCTATAGCAACAAAGGAAATACCCAAGTAAGAAAAAAAATATGCAAAACTTTTGTGACATTTTTTCTGTGATCTTGTCCCAACTCTTCTGCAGTTTATCTGGGTCTCCTGGAGGCAGCAAATCAATTCCCAATTCATTCCCTTCAAATGGGCAGAAGAGTACCGACCTAATTTGTAACATTTTGACCTCTCTGGTCTGCCAGAAGGACTGGTTCCTGTTTTGCCTAACTGGGTCCTCATCAGGTCAAAGAAGCAATGGGCACCATTTATGAAAGCTGCAAGGGGACTACAGTATGTAGATGTTTGGGGCTTAAGACTACAGAGTGTGGATATTAACAGACCATCTGAGTATCCAGGAGAAGCTCTGAGTATCCAGGTGAGAGTCTGTGGGAAATTAAGACACTCAAAAGCAGCCACGTATACAGGAGGAATTGAAAAAGCTACCCACAGGCCTAGGCAATACAAATGCTCAGAAAAAAAAGACCTTAGGCTTTCATCTTGGGGTGATCACTAGGTTAAAGGCATGCTCAACATATCAGCACAGAAATGCCCCAGTAGTACATTGCCAGTCTGCAACTGGGAGAGGTGACTCTTTCAAATACTCAGTTTTCAGAACACATCACAAGGCATGCAACAAGATATAAGAAAACATGGCCCATTCAAAGGAACAAAAATTTCCAGAAACCATTCCTGAAAAAATACAGATATTAAATTAGACAGACTTCAAAACAGCTGTCTTAACTATGTCCAAAGAGCTAAAGAAAAAAATGAACCAAAAGGAATGGAAATCAGAAAAATAAGCAAAATGAGAATATCAATAAAGAGAAATTATAAATGAGAATATCAATAAGGAGAAATTATACAAAGTTATTGTGGAGCTGAAAAATACAATAACTGAATTGAAAATTTCACTATATAGGTTCAATAGTAGAACTGAGTAGGCAAAAGAAAAAAAATCAGCAAACCTGAAGAAAAGACAACTGAAATTATCAAATCTGAGCAGAAAGAAAAAAGAAAGAAGAAAAGTAAACAAAGCTTAAGGGATTATGAAAGAAATGAATTGGACCTATACCCAATGGATGTTTTAGAGGAAGAGAAATGAACACAGAGATTACATGAAGGAAAAAAATTCCCAAAGGTGATGAAACTGATGAATCTACAAATCCAAGGATCTCAACAAACTCTAAATAAGAAAAACTCACCATCAATACCAAGACAATTACAATCAAACAGTCAAAAGCCAAGACAGAAAATTTTGAAAATGGCAAAAGAGAAGTGACTCACTGCATAGACAGAATCCTCAAATAAGACTATAAGCCAACTTTCTGGCAGAAGCCTTGGAGCAGGCAGTGTGATGATACATTTAAAGTGCTACAAGAAAATAACTGTCAAATGAGAATTCTGTATCTACCAAAACTGACCATTAAAAATGAAGTGGAAATAAACACATTCCCCAATAAATAAAACCTGAGGGAGGTTCATTATCACTACACACATATTACAAGAAATACAGAAAGTAGTCCTTCAGGTTGGAATAAAAGGACTCTAGACAGTAACTGAAAGCAATATAAATATCCTGTAAAGGTAAATGCAAGGGCAAATATAAAAACCAGTATTATTATAATTTTGGTTTGCAACCTCACCTTTTATTTTCTATGAATTTTAAAAGGCAAATGCATTTTAAAAAATCACAAATCTGCATTAGTAGACACATAATGTATAATAATGTAATTTACAACATCAAGAACATAAAAGGGAGGCAGAGCAGTGGAAATATAGTTGTTCAATGTATTTAAATTGGTATGAAAATTAGACTGTAATAACTTAAGGATATTATATATTATCCCTATAACAACCAATGAAAATTTCTATAGAATATACAAAAAAAAAAAAAAAAAAAGGGAATCAAATTGTGTCAATACAAAAAAAAAATCAAGTAAACACAAACAAAGGCAGTAATGGAAGAAATCTAGGACAAAACAGCTAAAAGACATACAGAAAACAAATAAAATGGCAAAAGTTAGTTCTTTCTTATATTTACATGTAAATTGATTAAACTCACCCAATTAAAGGCACAGAGAGTCATGATAGATAAAATGACATGACCCAACTGCATATCTACAAAAGACACACTGTAGATCTAAGAGAAGACATAGGTTTGAAGTAAAAGGCTGAAAAAAGATATTTCATGTAAATAGTAACCAGAAAAGTAGAGAAGCCATGCTAGTATCAGATAAAATAGTCTCAGGTCAAAAACCATTATGAAAGACTAAAGGATTTTAAATGTTGATAAATGGGTCACAAGATGATGTAACAATTACACACACACACACACACACACACACACACACACACACACAGACCCCCAAACATCAGAACTTTAAATAATGTGAAGCAAACACTAGTAGAATTAAAGGGAGAAACGCAGTTCTGTAAGAGACTTCAATACTCCAGTTTCAGTAATGAACAGAACAACTAAACAGAAGACAAGAAAATAGAGGATATGAACAAAACTGTAAATCAACTGAAGCTAACAGACAAAGACAAAACACCAAATCCAACAACAGCAGTCTATATATTTTTCTCAAGGGCATGTAGAACATTTTCAGGAATGACTAAAAGAAACAAGTCTTAATAAATTTTAAAGAACTGAAATCAAGCAAAGTATTTTTTCCCATCATAAAATAAAACTAAAAATCAGTAATAGAAGCAAACTAGAAAAACTGGCAAATATTTGGAAATCAAACAACACATTCTTAAGCAACTAATGGATCAAAGAAATCATAAGGGAAATCAGAATATACCGAGACAAAATAAAAATGAAAACCCAACATACCAAACCTTATGGAATGCAGAAAAAGCAGTGCTAAGAAGGAAATTTAGAGTTGTAAACACTTACATCAAAGCTAGCAAAAAGAAGAAAATAATAAAGATTAGAGCAGAGATAAATAAAGAGATTTTAAGAACAGAAAGAACACTTTAAGATTATATTCTTTCCATTTGTATTTTTTATCTTTTAAATTCTTAACACTATGTGAAGCAATGCCCTGTATACCCTGAACTCAGCTATGAGATATTTAACACACCAGGGGATATATAAATAAATTAACTTCCATCAATTCCTGGACTACTTACTCTGAAATTACGGACCAAAGTTTTCTAATTCAATTCCCAAGTAGTATTAAAATCAAGGTGTACTGTTATTTCAAGTAACTTTATTCACGGTTATGAAAGTTTAAAAATTTATCAAATATGTGGGAAAACTGCAATTTAAAGAGAAATAATTAGGTTTCCTATTTTTTTTTTAGACCGATTACAATGTGAACCATAACTACACTAATGGGTGGTCTCTATAAAAGTAAACACTGCAAACAATAAAGGGTATCATTTGGCTAAGAAAAAGATAATTTCTAATTCCAATTCAACACTGTTCCTATGAAACAGGTGTTTCTTTAGTTC